GAACTAGCATTTCTCGCTGTGATACATGGCTGTAGATTGACCATATCTACACTATTATTTCTCTAGTCCCCCATTTGAATACATCCATCGGCATTATACTGATCAAAAGTTGAACTAGATGCATATGGTGTTTTTAGTTTTAACAAAAAATTGTGTAATGCGCAAATAGCTAATACTACATATTTTATTTTTGTGGGAGCTATGTTTATTGCTGTGTGGAGAATTCTGAATTTAGCTGCTATTTGACCAAAAGCATTTTCTGTTACGTTCCTTGCCCTGGACAATCTATAATTAAAGATTCGTTTTGCATAATCAAGTTCCTTTTGTGGAAATGGTTTTAAAAAATGTTCATGTAGACTAANCATTTCATCTTGAAAGTCTATTTTTCCATCTCCATTGAAATAATGCATATAAGCTTCACGAACTATTTTTGCTGATGAACTAGCATTTCTCGCTGAGATACATGGCTGTAGATTGACCATATCTACACTATTATTTCTCCAGTCCCCCATTTGAATACATCCATTGGCATTATACTGATCAAAAGTTGAACTAGATGCATATGGTGTTTTTAGTTTTAACAAAAAAATTGTGTAATGCGCAAATAGCTAATACTATATAACTACATATTTTATTTTTGTGGGAGCTATGTTTATTGCTGTGTGGAGAATTCTGAATTTAGCTGCTATTTGACCAAAAGCATTTTCTTTTACGTTCCTTGCCCTGGACAATCTATAATTAAAGATTCGTTTAGCATAATCAAGTTCCTTTTGTGGAAATGGTTTTAAAAAATGTTCATGTAGACTAAACGCTTCGTCCCCAAGGAACACATAGTTTAAATTATTAACAGTTTCGAAGTTATCTGATAAATTGAGTTTTGACTTCATTAATTTTCGTAAAAGTCCGTGTACTCGATAACACCACCATCTGATAGTCTTCCATTTTTTCCCACATCCACAAAAATAAATTCGTAATTTGAATTCACTAGCGCCACCAAAACTATTGAATAAAAGTTTTTATAATTGTAGTATTGCGCTCCTGAATGAGGAGAAGGCACTATTCTGATGTGTTTACCATCCAAAGCTCCTCCACAGTTAATGAAATGCCATCTGTCTTGAAATCCCTTAGAAATATTAAGCCATTCTTCTTTAAAAGTTGGACTCTGCAAAGAAAAAAATCAATTAATGATTTTGTTCCAGGCTAAGAAGACCACGTCGAGTGTCGTGACACCAGTTTCAAAAAAAAGGATCATTTCCAAAGAGACAAAAAAAAGGCCAAATACTTCCACAGAAACCAGAGAATTCATTGAATTGTGTAAAACCNTGTAGACTAAACGCTTCGTCCCCAAGGAACACATAGTTTAAATTATTAACAGTTTCGAAGTTATCTGATAAATTGAGTTTTGACTTCATTAATTTTCGTAAAAGTCCGTGTACTTGATAACACCACCATCTGATAGTCTTCCATTTTTTCCCACATCCACAAAAATAAATTCGTAATTTGATGTGTTTACCATCCAAAGCTCCTCCACAGTTTTGTCTTGAAATCCCTTAGAAATATTAAGCCATTCTTCTTTAGAAGTTGGAAACTGCAAAGAAAAAAATCAATTAATGATTTTGTTCCAGGCTAAGAAGACCACGTCGAGTGTCGTGACACCAGTTTCAAAAAAAAAGGATCATTTCCAAAGAGACAAAAAAAGGCCAAATACTTCCACAGAAACCAGAGAATTCATTGAATTGTGTAAAACCGTATTGGAGCCTCAGAAAAGCGTTACGGATCTCACTGAATTTGATGCGGCAGGTGTGAGTGTAGCGAAAAAGCTGCAAAGGATGCCTCCAAGCCAAGCCATATACGCTGAAAGCCTTATCAATCAAGTACTGGCAAGAGGACTTTTCAATAATTTATCTAGTGAAACCAAATTGTGTGATGGATCCAGCAGAAGACCCCTCAACTCTTACACCAGTAGTGGTTCACGATCATCTACTGTATTATCGCCATTATCCTATCATTCTATTAATATTTCTGAGTCATCAGTAGGGCAGGCACAGTACTCAGCAAGTGCTGCATCCAATGATTCGCAGAATCAGATGAATCAATTACCCCAATCAAGTCACGATTCAAATGATACTGCTTTATCGTTTTACGAGAATTCGTTTAGTTTTTTGGATAAGAACGATTAATCGACATTTAAACTGAAAAAGAGTAATTATTATCATAAAGGGTAGTTTTTGATACGTTTGGTTGCCGAAACAGTTACCGGAAATAAAGTTTTGTTTTGAAGTATTTGCCTACTTTTTAAATCCTTTTCTTTAAATTTTCTACTGCTAAATGATTAATGAAAGTTATAAAAATGCTGATCCACTGACATTGGATGGAATTTGTACAATTAAGTATTATTTGTATTATTTGTAGGTTACTTACTTTCATGTATTCTCCTTTCAAAGACTCAAACATGGCCTTACAAGTTTCCGGGATCAAATCACAAAGAGTTGATGTACCAATGCCTGTGGTGAAACTCAAATCTTGAAGTGATCGACCCGTTGCCAAAAATCTTAGCGTTGCCGTTAATCTTTCCTCCGGACTAATACTCTGTCTCATTACAGAATCTTGCTTCCCAATTTTGGGACCAACAAGTTCTAATAATTTATCAAATGTGGTCGAATCCATTCTTAAGTAATTCTTATAGTCGCCTGGGTAATTTTCTCTCAATTGACGTAGAAGTGGCATATGTCCGTGTACCTCACGATCTTGTTTCCATTGTTTGACCCATTCCCTTCTGTTTCGCTGTTTAGACTTTTCCAATATTTTTTTATAAGTATATATGGCAGCAACTGCAATAATCTGATTATTCCTTCGACTTTTAGGCATATTTAACCATCTAAAAAGTAAAAATTATTCAAAAATTTATCAACTCTAGACAAAAATTTCATACTTACCTGAAATTCCAAACGCCACACTAATCGCGAATGATACCGGAAATTTTTACGTTCACACACACGAGATCGGCGCTTACAGTTTTCAACCGCAATGAAGAATGCGAGATAAAACTGTGTCTGTTTCTACTGCAACAGTCTGGCACGCCGCGCTCCAGTCCTGTCCTTAGAACGCGCGACGGGAACCCCTATTGCTCTCGTAAACTTAGAAAAAGTTGACTCGAGCGAACTTTATGTGCAGGCATCTCAGAACAGCAATCTTCGCGGTTAACTATACTACGCGTGCTTCTTGACAATAAGTTATTGTTTTATTGATATAAAGGTTAGTTTACAAATAACGAGTAGCGAAAAAATGACATTTATTACTTTTTTGTAGCATGGACAAATTTGTAAAACGCCTAAATAGTACGAACAGATCAGCTCCAAATGTTTCCGGTTTTACATTAGCACCCATTTCTGTTGACGGTAACAACCCTTCTTCCTCCTTTGACAAGGACACCAATTTATCGACAGAAACTAGTATAGTTAATGTTACAAAAAAATGTAGAAGACAATATAATAGGAAGTGGTGTAGTCAGTTTCCATGGATAGATTATAACGAACATCTCAACAAAGTATTTTGTAGTATATGTAAAAATGTTAGTGACGCTAATTCTTTTTCGCCTCGTACAAAACATAAATCTTCAAATCTAGATTCTTTAAAAGCATTTGTAACTAAGGGATTTTCGAACTGGAAAAAAGCAATAGAGCGCTTCGAGTCTCATGAGCAAGGAGATCTTCATCGCTTCGCCGTTTCAATTCAATTATCTTTAAATAAAGGAACCGATGTTGTAGCATCTTTGAATAAAAATAAATTAAATGACATGCGAAAAGCCCGTGTAGCTTTAACAAAAGTTGCGCTACTTAACTCTACAGGGTCATGCAATTCGGGGTCATACCGATGAATCATCTAATATTTATCAGTTACTATTACTTACAATTAGAGCTGAAGATGTTCCGGAATTAAAATCTTAGTTGCAAAGAACTAATTACAAATGGCTATCGCATGAAATATTGAATGAAATAATTTCTCTTTTGTCAGCTGATATTCTTAAATTATTAATTCAAGATATAAAAGATGCGCATTATTTCGCTTTGATTCTAGACGAAACTACAGACATTTGTACTAAGGAACAAGTTAGCATTTGTTTAAGGTATATCAGGAATGACTTTATTAGTGAAGAAGTATTTTTGGGTTTTTATGAAACCTGCAACACTACATCAACAACCTTGTATAACATCGTATTGGATGTCTTGCTTCGTTTTAATCTTGACATCAAGAATTGTCGTGGGCAATGCTACGACGGAGCGGCTAATGTAAGCGGGTTCTTGAATGGACTACAAACTAAAATAAGGGACTTGGAACACAATTTGAATTTAATTGTACGTCGTGATTTTTTAGCTATAGTACGTGAATTAATTACATTTGTTAAAGGTTCTCCTAAGCGATTATCTATATTGCAAAATATACAAACACTTAATGCCATTTCTGACGAAGGTTTACAAGTAAACAATTATAGTGCATTGCGGCCATTTTGCCCAACCCGTTGGTGCGTACGCGTTAAATCCCTCAAAACAGTGTTAGAAAATTACAGTAGGGGAACCCGGGGCACAACGGGGTACTGGGGCGCAATGAAGTTTGACGTTTTTCGGAATAAAGGAGGTGTTAAGCGGAGAACACATATACGCGATCACGACCACGATCGCGATAGCGTTGGCGATCAGATGCGTCACATGGAAACTAATGAAACCGAACATACATGTTACGACCTGTTAGCGATATAGTAGACTTGTGCAGCGTTCGTTCGCGTCCTCATCGACAACCACAGCGTTAGCGACCAAACGCAACAAGTTGTATTTATCGCAGATCGCGTGAAAAATATTATGTTAAGAAACATAAAATTTTATATGATTTATCACATTGCGACTACAAGAATGTACGTATAAAAAATAAAGTATGAGATGAAATTGCGAAGGACATGGAATTAGAACAAACAGGTCAGTATTTTTTTTTAGTTTATTGTATATTTAAAAGTTATTGAAATATGTGACAAATTTTTCACGTATATTAAAGGCCAGGTTTATTGCTCTTCTTCCGTCAACCGGCAAGTTATTCAACACTCGTACTGATCTATCAATAGTTTCTTGTAAGTTTACAAATTGTTGATCAATTTTTTTTATCCGTAAAAGGTTATGTAATACGCAAGCCGCTTTGACAAGTTTTGTAGCTGTTTCCACCTTCACTTCTAATGGTCTAAAAAACAATCTCCATTTGTGTGCCAGTATTCCAAATGCGTTCTCCACAACGCGACGCGCTATACACAAGTGATAGTTAAAATTTTCTTTATTATGGTCATGTCTTGATTGTTTATAGGGAAACGGTCGCATTAAATAAGTACTGAGTGTAAAGGCTTCATCGCCTATCAAAACACACGGAACTTCAGCATCTTCACCTGGTAAAGGTCTACTTGGAGGAATGTTAAAAGTGCCATTTGCAAATCTTCTACCCATAACTGATGCCTCGAAGATACCACCGTCACTATTTTTACCATATCCTCCTACATCTATACAAGTAAATTTATACTCAGGATCAACAATCGCCATTAGAACAATTAAAAATTTTTTTAAGTAAGAAAAGTAGTTTGATCCGCTCTTTTGTGGACATTTGATTGTCACATGCTTGCCGTCTATGCTTCCCAAACAATTAGGAAACTGCCACAAGTTTTTGTAGCCCAAAATTGATTTTTCCCATAATTCCATTGTGGGCTCTGGCATATAAATTGGCTGCAATTTATTCCATATTGCCTGGCAAACTTCTTCAACAATAGTCGCAACTGTTGAAAATCCTAATCGAAAGCTGTGACCAATTGTTTTGTATGAATCGCCGGTACCTAAAAATCTAGAAAAAATAGAAAATATACCTTAGAAATAATGTTTTCTGCTAGTGTTAAATGTAAATAAAACTATAATTTTATTTTAATAAAAATTCCGATGGAAACAGGACTCTTGTTTATTGTAGACCTGTTCTTTGCAGGTGACGATTTAAAAAAACGGTGGAAAAACTTGAGAGATTGTTTTTCAAAATATCTACGTTCTGAAAAAACCCGAATTGGACAAGCAGCTAAAGGTGTATCCCGATATAAGACCTGGCCTTGGGCGCACCATATGGAAATGTTTAGACCATTCTTACAATTTGCTCAGACGTATACAAATGTACCTGATGCCATAGCAGAGACTCCTGAACTAACAAATGAAGAAACAGAAACCACTGAAACTTCCGACAGCCGTCAAAGTGAGGCAAAGAATGATGAAGAGAGATCATCGACAACAGGAAGTGATCGTAAACAGGCAAAAAAAAGGAAACTGATCGAAGACCCCCCATCAAATTCTTCCTCTGTTGAGAAGGTTATTCAGTTTTTGAACAAAAAACACAATGAAGTTAATAATCATCCTATAGATTTAGCGTTTCAAGCGTATGCTGCGAGCGTAAAGAAATTATCGCCTCATCGTCAAACACTAATAAAATATAAAGTGGCAAAAATACTAATGGAAGAAGAACTGCAACAACTAGCAGAAACCCAGGAGGAAAACCGACCAATGACAAGTTCTTCTTTCAATTCTATTTCCCCACCTCACGCATCAAATATGACATCAAATTCCATACATAATACCCATCAATACCGGAATATCGATGAAGCTGCTGATAACAGTTCATCTTCAGCAGCTTGGTATGAGGATTTCAGTCGTAATATCATATAAAGTTTTTTATATAGTATTTTTGTATTTGAGTTATAGTAGTATTAGTAAGAAATAAATAATATCTAAATAGTGTTATTACCTTAATGTGACTGCTAAACGTTCTGTGGCTCCAATTAGTTCCCTATATTTGGTTTGCTCTTTTGTAATATCGTCTCTAATAAGAATTAGTATTTCATCAAAACATTCAAAGTTCATTCTAAAATATGTGTAGAATCGATTTTCATCTTTACGAAGTTCCGGGTATAATTTATGAAATTCGCCTTCTTCTTTACGTTTTTTATTAATCTCATGTACCCAAACATTCCTTTTTTTCCTACAATATAAGTGAATAGTAATAAAATATTAGTATTAATATTAGAAACGTTATCAAAATTAATTAATTAAAATAATACTAACAACCCTACGTACCTTCGCTTTTTATTATTGCATTTATTATCATCCAATAATACCGCAAGGAGCAACGCTTCTTCATCTATCAAGCTACACATTCTTTAGTCTGTATTGTGAATCGCGCCCGAAGACCATATCGCGATCGCGTATATATGTTCACTGCTTCGTATGATCGCAATCTACTAGCGCTTTACTAGTGAGCGACAATAAGTAAAACTAGCCCACCCTGTCACAATTCAAGTACCGCACCCATGTTAGTCTAGTTTTCTCGAGCGTTTGTTCGTGAAGTTCTCGTTGTGTGATTTTTTGCTCTTATAGTGTAATTTCTGATGATTTTGTAACCAAGGTAGGTATACATACTTGTTTACAGTACAGCTGTAGTTAGTATATGCGTGAAGTACGCTTAATTCTGGTTAGTTTCGTGTATTTAAACGTTTGTTTATGTATTTTTTTTGAGTAATCTGACCGTTCTAACCTAAATCCTATCACTGGGGCGGAACGGGTGGGGCAGAATGGGGAAGTACCCCATTCTGCCCCATAAATGTCATCACAAATGTCAATATATTTGAGTAAATCAATTTTTATTTATCTTCATGTCGATCGTGCAAAAAATGTTGTAACCATCACGAACGGTAAGCAATTTACCGTTCTGGATACTTAATATACTATATCTTCCGACTTCAGATGGTTCGAGTATATAAGAGAAAAACAAATAGGCAATCATGGTCTACAGAGGCAATGAACAATGCTGTTGAGGCGGTTATTACTGGATAATCGGGGTATTTGAAGGCTTCAAACCAATTTCACGTTCCCCAGTCCACACTGGAAAGATACGTTAAAAAAAGAAAAGAAAATCCTGACTGAAGAAAATTTAAAAACATATTTACGGAAGAGCAGGAACTTGAGATCGTTAATTACTTAAAAAGTATGGAGGCTAGATTATTTGGTCTAACAATTAAAGAGTTGCGTCACTTTGCTTATCAACTGGCCGTCAGAAATGGTATTGGTAATAAATTTCCAAATGGAATGGCAGGCCAAGATTGGGTTAGTGGATTCTTTAAGAGACATCCTACTTTATCTGTTCGCAAACCTGAAGCAACATCTGGTGCAAGAGCAATGGGCTTTAATAAAGTAGCTGTGGATAAGTTTTTTTCGTTGCTAACGAATTTAATCGACAAGCACAAATTAACGGCTTCTAAAATATTTAATTGCGATGAAACGGGTGTTTCAGTGAACCCTAAAAACCATTCAAAAATTATAGCTTTCAAAGGGAAACGGCAAGTCGGATCGTTAACATCCTAAGAAAGGGGCGAAACTGTAACCTGCCTTATTTGTATGTCGGCAGACGGAGCTTACATGCCTCCGATGCCCATTTTTCCTCGAAAGAAAAGGCAGAAAGAATTTTAATTGGGATTACCACCAGGAGGGTGGGCAGAGGTGCACAAGACTGGATGGATGACTGCTGAGTTATTTCTTGTATGGTTTCGAAGATTTGTAGAATTTTCTAAGGCATCAAAAGACTTCCCGGTTCTTCTTATATTAGATGGCCACTCTAGACACGCTAAGAACCTTCAGGTTATAGATTACGCGCGGGAGAGTGGCGTTACATTGCTATGTCTACCACCACATTGCTCTCACAGACTTCAGCCACTCGATGTTTCTTTTATAAAGCCTTTAAGTGTTTATTACAGCAATGAGCTTCGAAAATGGTTACGAAGCAACCCAGGAAAAGTCGTAACCCTTTTTCAAATTTCAACACTTTTTGGATCAGCTTTTATTCAAAGTGCAACAATGAAAACTGCTATTAATGGTTTCCAAGCTACAGGAATATGGCCAACTGACCCATCCATATTCACCGATGTCGATTTTCTCCCAGCAAACACAACTGACATCGGACTTAATAGGCCTTCAGGTGAAGAGGTGATCATATCTGAAGCTGAACAATTGAAATTGCCTTCGCCTAGCACAGGCGTTAAAAAAGACATGCCTATCAGGTTGGATGATAAAGCTGGCGAGGTTTCAGTCAACTCTAATGATGAGGCTAATTCTGCCACTCCTGATTGCTCTTGGATGACAACAGATAACAGGGCCTCTTCATTTCATATTTCACCTGCTATTCTAATGCCTATCCCAAAAGTTAAAGAAGCCCCGAAAAGGACGAATCGGAAGAGGGGAAAGACCGCGGTCTTAACAGATGCCCCATACAAAAAGGAGTTAGAAGCTGCTATTCAGGAAAAAGAGAAAAAGAATTTTGGCAAAGAAGAAAGAGCAAGGAAAAGATTATTTAAGAAAGAGACCAATAATAAAATAAACGGAAAAAATAAAAATATACTCGTTGAATTTCTCGAACAAATTTCTTTAGAAAAAACTGAATTTGGGGCTAAAGCCAACGGATTACGAACCCAATTATGCCAATTTAAATTTTTATTTTTTACATGTGCTTTAATAACTATTTTAGAAAGGGTTAAAGAGGTTAACCGATCATTGCAATGCAAATCATTATCATTCCGCAATGTTAAAAATTATTTAGAAAATTAAAAAATTGCTGTACAAGGAAAAAGGAATGTTTTCCACGATATGTGGACTGATGTGGTGAAAAAGGCAAAAAGTTTAGATCTTCACGAACCTTTGATTCCTAGACCACGAAAGAGACCTAAACGATACGAAGATGGCAGCAATCCACATGCATTTGATAGTCCCGAAGATATGTTTCGTAAAATATATTTTGAAATTGTCGATATGTCCGTCAATTCACTAAATGAAAGATTTGATTCGAAAACAACAAAGTTTATGTCAGATTGTGAAGATTTTGCTACAGGACAAGTTATTAACGCAGACGATGTTGTAAATTTCTATGGAAATGATTTTGACAAAGACAGGTTATTACTACATCGTAATATGTTTTTAGATATTTGTAAAACAGAAAAAATACTGATAAATGATATATCTGACATTATTACAGTTTTAGCTCCTACAGGTACTAATAAATATGAGTCATTGAAAGATTTAATTCCAGAATTCGTTAAATTAATAAAAATTATGTTGACAGTACCTGTAACATCTTGTACATCGGAAAGATCTTTCTCCACTCTAAAACGTTTAAAAACATATTTAAGATCAACGATGCCCTTGTCGCTGCGTTCAGGTTTCTCTCCCCTCGCTTACTTTCTGTTTTGAAATGTACAGTTTTTCCAAGTACGACCTTTTTGAGTACTTTGGCTCGCATCAAGTGATTATTCCTCCATATGGGAATGATGTTTGGGAAAATAAAGAATTGTTTGTTGAGACCCTGCAGTTGATAGAGGGTAGTTTGGTTGCTTATACTGATGCTTCCAAATCGGCAAGTAGTGGTGTTGGTTGTGCCTTTTTCATACCTGCTATTGATTACCATGCCAGTTTTAAACTTAATCCATCGACTAGTATTTTTGCGGCGGAAGCAACAGCAATTTTGGAGGCCTTAAAGTATGTAGATAGAAATATACGCCCAAATAGTAGCGTTAGTATATTCACCGATTCAAAAAGTGTCCTACTATCTATAAAACAACGGAAACACTTCTCGAAATACCACCCTGTTATAGTGGAAATTTTGAATAATCTCACTAGGTTGAATGATCAAGGCCATGTGGTAAAACATTTATGGGTGAAGGCTCACGCTGGTTTTGTCCATAATGAGCGCGTAGATAAGATAGCTAAGGCGGCCTTTCGGGACGGCAAGCGGGTTGAAAACAAACTTTCTTCTTCTGAGGTCTTATCTATCTGTAGGGAGAAACTTGTAAAGGAGGACTGGTGCAGACACTGGAATCAAACATATCAGCACAGGCAGACGCAGTACATTCGAGTTAATCCCCGTATACTTTACCATCAATAGTATAGTGGGCGTGATGTTTCTAGAAATTTCTTTTCAACTATCGTCAGGCTGAAGTCCGGGCACGGATGTTACCGTGCCCATCTATATAAAATTAATATTTTACAGTCCCCCAATTGTTCGTACGGGTTTGAGACGGAGGATTTGAATCATATAATTTTCAACTGCGAGAAATACGAATCATATCGACCGGAATTCATCAGTTCTTTGCTATCGCACGGTTTCTCCTTGCCACTTGATGTTATTACGATTTTAAGTAGAAATAGTTTTGAGATTTTTAAAATTATTTTTGTTTTCATGAGGAAGAGTGCCATTATTATTTGATATCTTTTATTGTTTAAAATTACTTCTTGTGAATCTTAATTAGTCGTTTTAACTTATGGGCTGGGATCCCGCAGAGCCATAAAAAAAAAAAAAAAGATCTACGATGACACAGGAACGCCTTAATAATTTAGCGCACGTTCATAAAAAATTAAATAAATCGTTAGATATTAAAAAAATCATAAACTATGTTTTTATTATAGAATATTTTTTAGTTAAATTATATCTATTGTTTTTTGTTGTTTTCTTGCTGTTCAATCTATTGTTTATTTGAGTTTTAGAGAATAAAATATTTGTTTTTTGATTTATTTACCACTTATTATTTTATNGTCCTAGTCCTATAGAATAAAATATTTGTTTTTTGATTTATTTACCACTTATTATTTTATTTAGACAGGGGGAGGTACAGGGATATACCTTGCTAGGTATACGTGTGAACTTAAAAAAAATAATAAATATGATCATCTAAAAGGTGTACCACTTGAAAAAGTTCAGCCCCCCTTAAATATTAAAAAGTCGGCGCCACTGAATGTAAGTTAACCGGATATCGTTTTCATGTAAACGTAATTATTTGACATTTATCGTAATTAAGATGAAGTTTGTTGACGAGACAGTAGGCATGCAAACGGTCAAGGTCTTCCTGAAGCCGTAGACAGTCGAGACTTGATGTTATATTTGTAAATATTTTATTATCATCTGCATACAGTAGGAATTTGGAAAACTTAAAGCAGGAAGCAATATCATTAATATAAATTAAAAATAATGTTGGTCCAAGATGGCTGCCTTGAGGCACACCGGAAGAGATGGACTTATAACCGGATAGAAAGCTACCAACCTTGACTGCCTGACTTCTATCTGATAAATATGATATAATCCAGTGAACAATGCCATTTGGGATGTTAAAGGAAGAGAGTTTTTGAACAAGAATTGTATGGTCAATCTTGTCGAAGGCTTTAGAATAATCACACAATAATCACATTTAATTCCAAACCTTCTTTAGAATAATCTGTGTAAATAGCATCGACTTGAGATTTTTCATTTAGGGCAGAATGAATAAAATGAACGTAGGATACCAAATTAATCTCAGCCGATCGTCCAGGCAAGAAACCGTGTTGTGCATGAATAAAAGAGTGAGTAATCACTGGCTAAAGTATTCCTGGACAGTTTTCTCAAAAACCTTGGGAATAGCCGAGAGAATAGAAATCGGGAGGTAATTTCAAAACCAACAGCTTGTCGCCGGATTTAAAAATTGGGACGACGAAAGCCGTCTTCCACTTGCTCGGAAAAGCCGTTTCAAGTAATGACTTCGCAAAAATTAAAAACAGGGGTGAAGACAGTTCACTAGCAAACTGCTTTAGAAAGAATGAAACACCCGTGCCACCGGGAATCGCTGAACGATCGATGGTGCCATCTACAAAAATCGACGAGAAGTACCTTCCGAACGCAGATAAGATATCAGGATCCGAGTTCACAATCGATTCATCAGCAGAAATCATGGCTGGCATGCCAGACGCAGAACCCTTTTTCGAATTAATGAAGGACCAGATCTCCCTCGGGTTCCCGAACACCCCCGCCTGAACGGAATTCAGATAGGCTCTGTGATCAATAGCTATTAATCTCTTTGATCTAGATCGTAAGATAGCGAAAGTCAAGTAATCATTGTGATGACCTGAGGATTTCCATTTTTTGTGAAAACGCAGCTTCTCTCTAACAACTCTAATGGTAAAGCGTTTGTACCAATGAGGAAAACGTTCTCTGGATAAGGCGCGCATAGGAACATCTTTATTAATTATATAATTAACGCGCTCATAAAACGCCTCAACCATGCTTTCTACATTCATCCCTGCAAAGACAGACCGCCATTCAATCCTATTCAAGAAATTTCTTATATTTCCAGAATTAGCCTTATTAAAGAGACGGCTAATTTTAGGCCCATTTTTGGTACAAAAAATTCAAAGGGTGGATGGTGACTGTCGGGATCCACAAGTGGATCCATGCAGGGACGGATGCTCTCAACGTGTCCATTAGCGCATCATATAAGATCTAAAATTCTAGAATTATTATTCAAAACATTATTAAATTGACCAAAATAACAATATGAATGGACGGTAAGAAATTCCACAGCACTACCAATAATCTTGCTCTGTCATCCCGTCTCACATGGATCACACATCTTTTCGTCCAGACATATTTATAGTTTTTCTTCCTTGCGATTGCTCGAGCTTTATTAAAAAGATCCATATTTTTAGCTGTGAGATGTTCGTTAATGTACAAGTTGTTATCAACGATATCCGGCAGAGACAAACCGCAGCCATTAGTGTTCCGACTATATAATTTGGCCGCGCCAAGAACACGATCACGAGTCATTCTAGATGTAAACTTAACAATAATGGACTTAACGCGTGGTTTATCTTTTTCAAGGCATGGTCTATGAGTTCTAACCATAGTCCTAGTCCTATATCCTCATCCCTCACATCCACAATTACAGATACCATTATCATGTTTCTAAGAGATCTCCTTACACCAGTAATAACACAAATTAAACAATTCATCGCAAATTCCCTACTTACTAACCTTATTAATGAATAATAACAGCCGAACCATACAAGATCACCGTTATGAACTGGAACGTAAACGCAATAAAGAACCAACGTACGGAAGTCATTGAATTTTTCTATCGTCATAACATCCAAATAGCTTGCATTACTGAAACATATTTAAAGCAAAGTGAAAGATGTAACCTATACAGAAAGGACCAGAATTCTACAACAGCTGCCGGTGAAGCTGCTATTTTAGTTAAAAAAGAAATACAGCATGTATGTAGTTGGCGTTAAAATAAAAACAATAGATGGTACCAACTTGAATTTAGTTTCTGTTTACAAGCAACCAAACAAATCGCTGATACAAAACGACATAACATGTATATTTAACTCTAATACTCACATTCTTGTGATAGGCGACTTAAATTGTAAAAATAAAATATCCCCTGTCGTACATATAACTCAAATGGAATTAAATTAGAACAAATCTTGACAGTAAATGCATTACAAATAATACCACTTGAAGAATACACTTATTATCCCTATCAACGAGATCGACTACCAGACATAGTTCAACACGTACTCAATGAATTAAGCTCAGATCTCGTACCAGTAATCATATCATTCCAGAGGTTTTCAAGAAGCTATGAACCACCACCAACATTGATAACTGGTAGACTAAACTGAGAAATTTTTCGTGAAACTCTGGATCGTATGAATAAAATCCCAATTAATGTCGATTGTAAAGAAGGAATAGATCAAGCAATTTCCAATTACACAAATAATATATGTGAAAGTGTAAAATCATCAACAATTCCCTATAGAAAACAAAATTGTAAATCTTTAATAGTGACACCAGCTGCAATATTAAAACTAATAAAACAAAAAAGTAACTGAGACGAGAATGGCAACAAACGAGGAGTTGTGAAACCAAAAACATAATAAACAATTTGACACTTCGCATTAAAAAAGTACTCGATTCATTTCGCTTTGAATGTTATCAACAACAAATAAGAATACATGAAAAAAATGATCCTGGTATGTGGAAAACAACAAAAACACTAACACAACACAGGCAGAATATAGGCTCTATCAGAGATGGACAAAATACACTTTATTCAGATACTGAAAAAAGCAATCTATTCGGCGATTACTTAGGAACGGTTTTTTGCCCTTCTACAACAATTAAAAATACGGACAGATTAAATGTATTAAATTATATTGAAAATCATACACCAGTCGCTAGTGAAACAGAACTAACATCACCCGATGAAATGAAGGAACTTATCAAACAACTTCCTAAAAAGAAATGTCCGGGGTATAATTTGATCACAACGAAATTTTAAAGTAACTCAGTAATAATATGATAATACTTTTAACAACACTTTTCAATGGCTGTCTGAGAAATGGGTATTTTCCAGATAAATGAAAGCATGCCTAAATCGTGGTTTTTCCAAAACCTGGAAAACACCACAAACAAGTAGATGGTTATCGTCCAATTAGTTTGCTAGTGGGCTTATCTAAAATTTTGGAAAAAGTCATTCAAAACCGACTGAAAACAGAATTATTGTCAGAAAAGACTATCCCACCATATCAATTTGGATTCAAAACTAAACACTCAACGTGTTTCAAAAAGTTCTGCAAAAAGTTACCGAAGCCATCGAATGGGAATTTGAAGAGGAACAATATACAACAATAGTTTTCCTGGACTTTGCCAAAGCATTCGATAAAGTCTGGCAGGAAGGCTTAAAATACAAACTGCTACATTTAAAGCTATCACCATAACTAATACCTATATAATTCTCCTTCCTTGAAATACGATAATTACGTTCCAAATTAAAATAAACAACGAACTATCAAGAATTAAAACCATAAAAGCCGGAGTACCTCAAGGTAGCGTATTAGCTCCATTGCTATTCAATATATACGTTCACGATATTCCAACTGTCTCAGGAATGCTATCAATGTTTGCAGACGACACCGTCATAATTAGTCAGAACAACAATATTACTAAAACAACCGAGTAACTACAAGAATATAGATATCGTATGCAAATGGGCTAATAAATGGGGAATTGCAGTAAACCCGGCTAAAACACAATTAAAGATGTTCGCACTACGAAGATTCCGAGAACTTCCAGTGATATTAACAAATAACCAAGCTGTTTAATGGTCAAATGGAGCTGTTAAATATCTTGGAGTATATCTCGATACCAGACTTCACTGTGGTTTTCATATTAATCAAAAACTTAATGAAGCTAATGTGCGATTAAACCAACAATATCCTCTAATAAACCGAAGATCACAATTCAAAATAGAGAGCTCACTTTTATTCTATAAGTCACTACTAAGATCATTGTTAACTTATGCCATTTGTGTATGGTCAAATATTTCAAAAACTAATCTCCATAAACTACAAACGTTTCAAAATAAAATTCTAGCAACTAATGCAGCATGATATATTAAGCTGGATTTACACCTGCGAGAAAAATCGCGATAGTATTCGCGCAAGTGCTGTATTGTAGTGTAAACAGATAGATGCAATTTTTCCTGACAGTTGGATGCGAGTTGACCTGCGAGCTCTTACGCGAGCCAGTGTCACAGATTGTTGCTACAGTAAGAGTAAGTAATTTATTTACATTTGACATCACCGAATGCAATTTCAACTCAAGCAAGTAGTTAGTTCCAAGACAGCGTCAGTCTGTTTTTAACCATGCCACAATCCAGACGTGCTAAAACTGCTGCTGCACTTCTTGTAGCGGAATATTGGTTTCGAAAAGAAGAACGAAAAAGGAAAAAGAGGAAGATCTGGGTTAGAGAATGGATTGAGAGAAGAAACGAGTTAGGAGCATTTAAAAGTTTAGTTAATGAGTTAAGAATAGAAGATTCGCAACAGTTTAGGAATTTTATTCGGATGTCTAGTACAGAGCTGGAAGATCTGCTGTTTATTGTTGGGCCGAAGATCCAAAAACAAGATACCGTTTTGAGGGAATTAATATCAGCAAGCGAGAAGTTGATGGTTACTCTACGCTTCCTTGCTACTGGTAAGTTACGAGATTCTATATTAGTATTTTCTTAATAAAGATTCGTGAATTTTTATAAGCTTTAGAAACAAAATTATTTTCCTTCTGTAAAAGATATTTACCTTTACTCAAACTAAATGTTTTTTGTAGGTGATTCATATAATTCTTTGATGTATCTATTCAGAATCCCAGCTTGTACCATAAGTATAGTCGTACCAGAAGTCTGTAAAGCAATATTTGATACCCTCAAAGAAACTTTGCTGAAGGTAAGTTTATTACTATTGTACTTGCTTCTAAATTGTGTGAAAACATTGCTGTTCAACATTACTAACTTCTATTACAAAATAAGGGTTTGTATTTGTAACACGATAACATTACATTGATCGAAGTCAAACATGCGGAGACAGTCATACTTGTGAGAATATGTAATATATAATAAATAAAACACGGGTTTAAAAACGTAATATCAATGATGGTTATATTTTAAATAGAAACATTTAAATAAAAAGAACGTTCTTTTTGTTGAATCAAAAATATAAGTTGATTGTTCACATTTAAAAAATTTAAGTATAATGACAGAGTTGGACAGATCTTTAATTGTAGTTAGCGAACATCGACGATTGTTGTTCAGGTTGTTCGTGTGTAACTAGGAATCCTTGTGTAGACATCGGTTGCATGTTATGGTACTGCAGTGCAAAGGAAGAATGTTCACTTGAGCTAGTAGACGGGGACAGCAGCGGCGTTTGATGAGAACAATTGGTATTATATATCCCTCTGGGCTTGTAAATTTCACCCATTGCTTCAGCTTCTCCAATATTTGTAATTGCTTCCATAACAATTTTCTTAAAAACCCGTTTATTGGCAGGGTTTTTCATTTGTCTTATCTCTGAGGCACAAAATCACCAAAGATTTGTTCCTTGTCGTTAGCTTGATTAAGTTGGCTCATTGCCTGTTGAACGTAGAGTGGCATTTCTTGAGAAGGTTTGACTTTTTTTTCTTCATTTGAGGATTTCGAAGCGCTTCCTGCTCTGCTTGTCTTGTTCAACTACAGATATAGAAGAATGATTAATGGTCTCGTCGTCCCATTCAGTTTCATTCATAATTTCCGTGTTTCCCTTCTTTTGTTTCACTGTCTGAAAAGAAAATTGCCTTTAAAATATGTGCGTTCAAAAATAAACTCTGTACACAATTATTTTGAGCCATACGTATTTAAATGTGATACGTATTTTTGTGTATACTACAACCAAGATAATATGGCATCTGAGGTTACTCATGAAAGTTGAGTAAAGACACTTCTACGTTACGTTATGCCTACCATTGCCTAGCAGTTGAAAGTAGGAACTATTTATGCCTATTTTACCGATTTCCATTCATACATTCAAGTGAACTGCTCAGACAATAGCAAACGCATTTTTTTCATATACCATCTTATCTCAGCTTGGACAAAGTTAAGTTCACATGTACTTGGGTAGGTGTGAGAGTACGTTTGTTGAGCATGTACATGTGTGGCTATGATTGTATGTAGAGGCTTTTAAGTTATTAAACTTGAAGAAATATTGTACATTCATAATTTTTCTTATTATTCCAGATATCAGATAGCAAAGAAGAATGGTTAAAAATTGCTAAAGGTTTTGATTCAAAATGGAACTTTCCTAATTGTATTGGCGCGCTCGATGGCAAACATGTAGTTATGCAAGCGCCCCCAAATAGTGGAAGCTTATACTTTAATTACAAAGGATCTCATAGCATTGTGTTGCTTGCACTCGTTGATAGCAACTATAAATTCACTTACATTGATGTTGGTTGTGGTGGAAAAATTTCAGATGGAGGTGTGTTTAACAATTGTTCCCTGAAAGAAGGCATAGTTGCTAAGGCTTTAGATATACCGGATCGTTCTCCACTGAAAGGAAGGCAGCTGCCCATGCCGTATGTAATCGTTGCTGACGATGCATTTGCATTGAGCGACTGCTTAATGAAACCTTATCCATTCAAAAATCTCCCTATGAAGCAATGTGTATACAACTACCGACTATCTCGATGCAGACGAGTTGTTGAAAATGTGTTTGGGTTAACTGCTAATAGATTTCGAGTCCTACGAAAGCGAATTCTTTTGCATCCAGAAAGAGTTAAGGCTGTAGTTTTGGCAATATGTACGCTTCATAATTATCTAATTCAAGGTAAGGAATCTTCTAACAGATATGCTCCTCCAGGAATATTTGATACCGAAGATACGGAAACTGTGTAAAATGTAATTGATGGATACTGGCGTTCAGAAGAGGGTATGCCCAACAAAAGTTTACTTGCCCTACAAGCTACAAGAAGTAGAAATCGCCCAAAGCCTGCAGAACAAGTTCGTGTAGAATTTACCGAATATTTCTCAACTCATGCAGGAAAGGTTCACTGGCAGTACAGGCATATTTAAAAAAGGAAACCACACAACAGGAGCTGTTATGAGTCGTGCAGTGTTGTTGTTATCAATGTAATGTTATGCACTTATAAAACTGTAATTTCTCTTAATAAATCTTGATTATCACTCATAGATATATAGCACTATTTATTTAACGAAGATTTTGAAATTAAACTATAGATCATACTCGAGATAAATGGTAATTAGTAAGTTATATTTTTAAATGAAGTAATTTTCTTGGCTTCATTTGCCAGCATGTTTTTTTAACTATAACTCTATAACATCTTAAATGGCCGTTTTCGTTAGGATAATATAAAACAACATGAATAGTCTACTTACCGGTACAATGGTACTAGTTGTGGTGGATGACTTCACTTGAATAAACTTCAGTGCACTGAAGTAGGGCCAATTCGAAACATACACTTCATCAGTCGCCTGTCCCGATGTTT